ATAATTCATGATTACCTCATTAAAAACTTTACCAAGAAAAACCCAATTGGGATAAAAACTTGGTAAGGAAAAAAGAGTGCAATCATATTGTGACGAATTATAAATTTTACAAACTTACAAAGTTATACAATTACAAATACAATGTCAAAGGTAGATACATATTTACAAATTACAAATTTACAATTTAATTTAAAGCTAAAGGATCGTCTTCAAAATTAAATGTTAATCGATTAAATTCATCGATCCATTATTGGCTTGCCGGTGAAATTGTATCTTGTAAATGTTGATTGGCATGATCCCAATCCTTAATGCAAACCAAGGCTTCAATCAACATTGAGTGACTGGTCTTTTAAAATAGAGATCATCAAATAGCGATGAAGTTATTAAACCAAACCAATCATTGAGTGACTTTTGATAAATTATCAATTTACTTTGGTATGCAAGTAGAAAGTTACTTTGATATAGAGTCACAAAGAGAGTGAAGAAAGTTGAAGAAAAAAGAGGATAATTAAGAGGATGAGGAGAGATTGTGAATAGAAAAATAGATAAAGATAGAAAGAAGAGTGATATAGAATAAAAAAACACGAGTATCTATCAGAACAAAACCGGCATTATATAGAAACAGCACTATTTAAAAATAAAAAACAATAAACGTGATGGCAATGTGTTTCTTTCCTTGTGTATATTGTTTTTTGAGGAATCATTTTATCATGTGATTGATTATAAAAAAAGGGTCAAGAATGTGAAAACTGAAATATTAAACTGCTAAAATAGGAATTTGCTCTTTCTATTAAGGAATTGTGTGTTTACCTTAATTAAAAAGTTAAAAATTTAAATAACAAATATGGGCATTGGGTCTAGTGGTATGATTCTTGCTTTGGGTGTGAGAGGTCCCGAGTTCGATTCTCAGAATGCCCCAATTTGTAGCAACTAAAATTTTTGGGCGGTTTTGGGCAAATCGGGCAACTCGGGCGTCGGGCAAAATTTGGGTTTTCGGGCTTATTTTCGGGTCGGGCAATTCGGGCGGGTCGGGCATGGTTTGAAAATTCAAAAATATTCCGGCGGACGACGGTATAGGGTGGTTAGACGGCGGCGGGCAAGAAAGTTAGTGTCAAATTCGGGCTGCCCGAGCCCGAACCTGAAAATCTAGCTTGGGCGGGTGGGAGATGGGCTTGCCCGCCCGAGCCCGAAAAAATTCGGGCTTCGGGCAGCCCGCCGACCTGAACTTCCAACACTGCCCCTCATTAATCAAATAAAAACCTATAATTTTTTTAAAAATCTAAATATAATTTAAAACACATAAAAAACAAAATAAAAATCATACATAAAAAAGCTCAAATCTATTGTTTCTATCAAAAAGGAAAAAAACAACAAAAAAACAAAATCAAACTACAGCCAAATTCAAACCCAACTAGAGAAAAAAAAAATTCAACATCCCAATCGCCTATTGAGATAAAAATATAAAATACAAAATACGCAATCGAACATAAAATATGTAATTGGATATTAAATTATGCAATCAACATAAAAATTACAATAATTATTGAGATGGAATTATCAAAATAAAAATATAAAATATGCAATCGGTTATTGAGATGGCATTTGAACAGATCCTATGAAATAATTAAATTACAACCCAATCGAACGAATATATAAATAAATAATTACAATAATTATTTTTACTCGTTACATCAAT